TCCTTCATTTGACCTGGACTAATTGTTTGGTAGGGTTAGAGTTAGATGGTCTTAGTTGGGGTGGAGATTCTACGGTTGGACTACTTATTAATAATGTAATTGAAGTATATCATTAAATCAAAAAAAATATTCATCGCCTTGATTTAATATTAATTTAACTGTGATCATTTTAATCTGTGGTTGTGTTGAGGAAATAAAAGCAATACTACTCAGAAAATATCCTGACAATCCGTGGACACAAAAATGCGTGGTAAAGTGGCCGATTATATTTTGTTTTGATTCGTATTATTGTGAATTCGACAAATCTGAGCTGTTCGTACAAAACTTACGGCGCTCCATTACTGTAAGTACCAATTAGGGCTGGGCCTTTCGAATCGAATATTCGAATCGAATAGTAAATTATTCGAATCGGTTCAGAGCTAAATTTCGAATCGCCGCCATCTTGTTGTTATCTTTTCGCTAATGGTCGAGGTGAATTCCCCAAATTTTTTGTCATAAAAGACCTATTTTTTCAACGAAATTCTAACATATGACTATTTTCTGTAGTGTGTTATTGATAAAACGTGTTTGTTATTCTGTGTGACCGCTCAGTAATCGATCTGAGTGATTTATTCTATGTCTTCAGTAATTAATTTGTTAAGAGGACCAATTACTATAATAATGTCGCTTACATTTATATATTTTCAAGTATTCGAGATTCGATTCGATTTGAAAAAATTATTCGATTCGATTCTGAAATCACAAGGTATTCGAAAATTCCCAGCCCACTACCAATGTGGAGGCAGTCAAGCAAAGAATCTTAAGGGTATATGCCCTGATACGTATACTACGGTAGCACCCGAAATTTTGCGATTTGCAGCGTTTTTAATTGGTCGCGGACCATCATAAAACAAAACTTATGGTGTTCTCCGTTTTATTTCGAGTATTTTGTATTGCCGATTTTCAAATTAGGAAATTTAGGTTGCCTCCATTGGCACCTATCAGAAATAAAATTATTCCTCATTGTTCGAGCTCGCGAGAAATACATCTTAGGTATCTATCCACGCGTGTGCCGACTCGTGTTTTCGTCGGAAATCCGCAAGTGATTTGTGAAATCCAATCGTTTGATTGAGCGACGCGCAAGTGTTCTTCCTGTCTCGTCACCTGTTACCAAATTTTCGTATAGTAAATTGCTTTTCTAATATTAGAATATTCGAAGTCCTACTCAGTATCCAGTTATAATTGACTCGGTTAATGTTATGTGAATGAACTTGCTTTTCATGTTTTATGTAAATTCTAACGTAAATCGTAGCTTGGCTGATGGTTAAGTTTTGCAAAAACGTTTGCGGCCCGCAGTGAATTTCTGGCGGACTCATTCAAACGCTCCGCGACCTCATTTGAGACCGCGGACTCGGGTTGGGAAACACTGCAGACAACAATAACTAGAGACAACAATAATCTTTAAACAATAAATATTTTAAAGCAATTAGTCCAGTGTTTTTTTCACAACAACAACAAGAAGAAATATACCAATAAGATGAATATACCTGTATATCAAGTTATCTAAACTCTTATTATTATCTTCTCTCTCTGTATTTTGTACACAATTTTTCTAAATCGCCTTTGCTGTGATTTTTTCTCGGTAATTCACGTGTTATTCACAAAAGATGTTTACCACACAGTTACTTTTTAAATAAACCCATAACAGCGGTATGGGTGTCGCTGCTTGGAGACCTCGCGATCACGAGTTACCTGTCAGCTGTCACACAAATAACGTTAATTGTATATTTATTTTTCCTGCATCAATTTCTGTGCACTTGTTTTTTTTATGATGACGAAAAAACGAATGAATCACGAGTCATCTGTGGGGTGTCACACCAGGGGTAATTTCAGTAGTTACCATTCTATCATATTCTCAAAATAAAAAAGCCCTATGGACCTTTCTCCGAGCATTGACTTCCTTGTTTACTTCGTGATATTGGTGAATCAGCAAGATGCAAAAAGTGACGTAACAATGCTCCTTTTTCGCATCTGCTCCGACACTTTTCTCACTCGGACAGATTTTCAAGCGTGGTCGTAAACATTACCACCTCGTTTTTCGCGTTTTTAAACTCTATTCGTTAGTTTTTAGTTGCGTTTCGGAAACTTAAATATAAATCAGATAATTCAATGATTACTCTGTCTTCCTATGAGTTTTGATTTAATTGCAGTAATAAAAAATTAGTGTAGAAATAGCTGTGATAGACTAGGCTGAAGTTCTCTACCGGTACTTTTAAAAAACAGATTGTTGTATGCGATGAATCATAATGATGATTTGAAACACATACCCCATTTTACAGGCGCCAACTCGCAAAAGCACTCGTGAAAAAGCCGCGAAAATTTTGCAATTGTAAAGTATAGGAAGAATTATTCCGGGGTCAAAGGTCGGGGAAAGGTCCATACAGTCAGACCGCCGTCGGGTGCGGACGTGGTATTACACGGTGGAGTACTGGAGTAAAAAATATTTGGACTAAAACTTGGAAAACCGGACAAACAGGATTGAATACAGACTACCTTTTATCTATGGAGCTGCTTTGATAAAAATTGCGTTGATCACTTGTAACAAGTGATTGAATCTAAGGGACTTCGAGGAAACAGAAATAATCGACTTAGTTGCCGACACTGGATTGGTCAGTAAATTCATGCGAGAGAAACAATTCATAGGAACAATCGATGTTCAACACAATAAGATGGAAGCTCCGGAATGTTGGACGTTGCAAAGAATAAAAACATTTACTCCAATTTCTACGAATTTGAACCAAAGCAACGCCCGAAACTAGTTTTCGTGTTTTTATGTTTGTTGTTTACTTTTTAGTTTTGTTTGTTTACAAAAAACAGCAGCTAATCAATTAATTGGTATTCGCATTTCGGCACAGGCACCATCACATAACTTCTAAATGTTTTTGTATTCTTCACGACTTTCACTCATCAAAATTATTTACAACATTACAAGTAAGCTTTGCCCGGGAAATTTATTTTCTCGTGATCATGTACTCTGTTCATTAATTTATTCTAGTATGATTGTCTTGGTGTGTTTCACGTGTGTGAATGTGGGTGAATGGGCACAATCGCTGGTTACAGCGTTCGTTATAAACCTTTTTAGGTTTTGCCCGTTTTCCCGATCTTTCAGTTGACCTTGTCTGTGTTCTTTTTATTTGTGTTGTAGACGAAAGATCGAAATAAAATTGTATTGTTGTATTGTATTGTATTGTATCAAACGATAAATGGCACTGCAACCCCCGTATAATTCAAGAATATTTTTTTACAACAAAAATGTATATACATATGGTAATCGCTTATCTCGAAATGAATGATTATTTGTGCAGCGATTTTAATCCTCGTGTATCGAAAACTCCACGAAGTATCAAGGTGTGAATGCTCGAATGCTATTAATGCGAACCTAAAAAAGTTCCCAGTTTTAAAAAAAATCCAAGAAGTATTACCAGTCTTTTCTGAATAAGTGATGTTTCATACGTTTTTAACTTATACCTTTTTATGATAAATCAAACACTTTTGCTTGTCACTGTTGTTTTCATTTTTGTCTAATATGTATCAAATTATTTTCGATGCGTGATTATTACCGTAGTTACAAGAAATTAACACGATTTATAGTTGGTGTAGGCTACCATACAGTGTAATGTAAACAGCCAATTTTATTCATGCCAGGTTAGTGTTTTTATTTATTTATTCAGTAACCGTATGGTCCTTCCGACCTATTATCAAATTCATTGTTGATCGTTTATTATTATCTTTAATTATAAAACTTATTATTTATTGGACACGTAGTGGACAGCGTAGTTAGCGATCGTTCCAATATTATGTTGTTGTTGTTCTTATTCTGATTGTTCCTCGACACGTTTTTAAAAAGTCGCTTTTCTCTTTGATTACTGGACCAATTGCTTTGAAATTTTCAGTAGTTAAAGATGGAATTTTTTTTCTAAGAGGCTATTATTTTTATTTATTTCTAAATTTTGTATGAATTCTATGAAATTTGATCCAAAATTTCTGTGTAATATTTTTATCCATGGAAACATGGATTTTAGTCCGCGTGATGACTGGCTGTACGTTTTGAGTCTGCAAAATTCCTGCTACTGGAAATCTGGAATTTTCTTGAGGGGTACCGGTAGGTCAAAGGTACCGGTAAGGACTGATTCGCTCTCGTGTACGTGTCCATATACTTGAGCGTTGCTCTCTTGTCTATCTGAGGGTCATTGAGTCTTCTAACTGACGCGCTCATATCCACTCTTCATACTGAACTGTATATTTGAAATGTGAATGAAAAAATTGTCGGCAATTTAGTACTTGCAACTTTTAGTCACAAATGTACGCGGTCGTTGTGCAATCAAGGACATTGCCATCATAAGGGTGAGCAAACACTTGCTCATACCCACATTCTACCCAAAAATAAAATTGGATAAAGTTTGCTTTGACGTTTTAAATTATTTATAGACTTTATTTGTTTCCTGGCGTCTCGAATTATACTTTTTGTCTTTGTTTAAATTATTCTCCTACTGCGTTTATCCTGAACATCTCGAACATCGACTTTCTTGTTTACTTCGTGACATTGGCCAATCAGCAAAATGTAAAAAGTGACGTAACAATGCGCCCTTTTCGCATCAGCTCAGACACTCATCTCACTCAGACAGATTTTCAGGCGTGGTCGTGACGTAAACATTACCACGTTTTCGCTATTTCAAACTCTATTGGTTAGTTTTCAGCTGAGTTTTGGAAATTCAAATATAAATCAGATAATTCAATGACCAATCTGTCGTCTAAGGAGTTTTAATTTAATTGCAGTAATAAAAAATTAGTGTAGAAATAGCTGTGATAGATTATGCCAAAAATTTACCGGTACTTTCAAAAAACAGATTGTTGCATGAGATGAATCATAATGATGGTTTGAAACAAATATATTGTTTTACAGGCACCAACTCGCGAAAAAACTCTTAAAATAAGCTTTTACAATGGTAAAGTATAGGAAGAATTTTTTGGGGTTAAAGGTCGGGGGAAAGTTCATAGGGTCAACCTCCCTTATTCAGTTGTGCCAAAGAAGGCTTTTGCAGAACTATTTTTTAGATCGAATCGGCCGTTGCGATAATCACCATGGGTTCTCAAGTTTCTAAATACTTGGCTGTTGAAACAGATAGTGCTGGAAATGTTGATACCAAGAGTTTGTTATTGCAACTTGCATTCCGACTAGGAAGCACTGCGTTATTAACGTATCTTTTATTTAAATACATTGATAAATTGAGAGAAATAGTCGACCCCACAAGAAAACAGAAAAAAGCGGCAGAAGCCAAAGTGAGTCTTATTAAAAAAAATTGATCATTCGAATATTTCTTCGTGTTGGTTGTAGTGATTGCTCAATATAGTAATACAGAAAAAAGCCTAATAGTCCACCACCATGTTATATACCGGTACTGCTAACATTAACTAGAGAGAAACAATTCATAGGAACAATCTATGTTCAACACAACAAGATGGAAGCTCCGGAATGTTGGACGTTGCAAAGAATAAAAACATTTTTTCCAATTTCTACGAATTCGAACCAATTTTGCAACATGAGAAGCAACGCCCGAAACTAGTTTTCGTGCATTTGTGTTTGTTGTTTACTTGTTAGTTTTATTTGTTTACAAAAAACAGCAGCTAATCAATTAATTGTTATTATTGGTATTCGCATTTCGGCACAGGCACCGTCACATAACTTCTAAATGTTTTTGTATTAATCACTCATCAAAATTATTTACAACATTACAAGTAAGCTTTGCCCGTGAAATTTATTTTCCTGTGATCATGTACTCTGTTTCTTAATTTATTCTAGTATGATTGTCTTGGTGTGCTTCACGTGTGTGAATGTGGGTGAATGGGCATAATCGTTGGTTACAGCGTTCGTTATAAACCTTTATATAGGTTTTGCCCATTTTCCCGATCTTTCAGTTGACCTTGTCTGTGTTCTTTTTATTTGTGTTGTAGACGAAAGATCGAAATAAAATTGTATTGTATTGTAACTATCGCACTATACCAACATCTGGCATGACATCCAGACATCAGCAGTATTCACCTCTTATGGCTGTATGGTCATTCACTGTCTTATATACTGTATATTGTTAATTAACTTACGGTTCAGCAGTTTGAATTTGCTATTTTTACCCTAATTATTGCAGTGTTGTGTTTTTTATTTTGTCTTAATGAAATATAAATCCGAGCGACCAAGTTAATTTTTTTATTGATTAAACCTCATTCTTTGGATTGATGTTTCGAAATTGGCAATATCTGAATATCTCATCCGAAACTTATTTCAGTATTTGTTTAAGTTTTTAGGGTTCTTTGTCATGAATCAATATGTCTTGCACAAGCACTAGGTCTTTTGTGGTTCAGCGTTGTGACGCATGGCTAATACTCTGCATTGGTTTGCAGATTCGAATTCTGTGGAGATAATTATGTGCGATTGCTAGACTCCCCGCAGCCTCACCACTGTGGGGATAATTATGTGCGAGAAGATTGCTAGACTCCCTGCAGCCTCACCACTGTGGGGCGGTTCACCTAACCGCTGGTCAGTCACAACTTCCTCCACCATCGAGTCCATGCGTCTGAAACAATTAACTGGCTAACTAATCCAGTACCAAACATGGACTGGTAAACTGACGAACAGTTGTGGTTTGCCATATGCTTAAGCTGTTTTATCGGCTTTCCTTTTCCTTGGGATAAATATATAAATCCTATCCTTGATTATTACTTATTATTAGCCATTTTTCCTTTCACTCACAGGCAAAGCAATTATTGAAACTTCTCGGAAAATCTGATGTGAAAAATTTCAAATTTACTGAATATGAACTCAATGTTGCATCACAGCTGGTTGTCCCTACAGGTAATGTTTTGAAATGTTTTTGCTTGGGAGTTTTGTCAATGATTGGTTGATCAATTTTCATTGATCGATAATTTTATTTCATCAATTTCTTATATTGAATTTACAGGAATTGGTGTGTCATGGGAATCTATTGGAGGGCTCGAGGAAATTATTGACCAAATACGTGAAACTGTTATACTGCCATTTCAACGTAGAGAAGTTTTTAAGATGTGCAAATTATTTCAGCCACCGAAAGGTAGATATTTTCAGCAATACAAAGTCCAATTCCTTACATAAGTTTTTTCAAGACTTTTTTTTGTATTTCTTGTTGTTATTAAGGTCTTAACAACAAATGGAACTTTTCTCTGACTCTAAAGCTCTAGTTTTAACCAGCATTCGAAACTTAAATACGAATCTTCTGCTCACAAGTTTTCTGCAACCAATGTGGCTTATTATACCCTAATGTTAAACAAATTATTTGATAGAATTCTAACTTTTCATAGGTATACTTCTATATGGACCACCAGGATGTGGTAAAACTATGCTTGCTAAAGCTACTGCAAAAGCTGCTGGATGTGCTTTCCTGAACATTGAGGTTTGACATTTTAATTTTATCAACTCACCTTGTACAAACTTACTTTGCTCAATTGAGGTATTTGTTTCTTTTGTTTTTAGATCCAACAGCTCACTGACAAATGGTATGGAGAGTCCCAAAAACTTGCAGCTGCTGTTTTTTCACTAGCACATAAGTTGCAACCAGCAATTATATTTATTGATGAAATTGACGTTTTTCTTCAAATGAGGTAATGAGTTTTCTTGGAAATTTTCATTATATCAACATTGTACTGGATTTATACAACCATGAATATAATTCTTATTCCGATCACACCAAATTTAGCTGACTTACCTTTATCCTCAAATTTGAGTGAAATCATTCAAGTGTGCCCGATATTATAATATTCTGTATGCCCTTCACAACCCAGTTGACTATCAAGATCGTTCTCCACTATGATAGAGTAATTTGATAATCTTTGCTGCTACTTGGAATTTGAAATCTGAATCCAAAATGCGAAAATATGTTATGGCGTGAAATACAGCTATAGATCGTTTGCTAAGTTGTTGTTACTGGAACATAAGACCACTTTTGTCCTCAAATATTCTATTGCTTTTATGCCTTCAAATCGTACCTGTAGCTCTCAGGGCCTGCTGTTTTGCCCTAAATTTTGCGGGGATTTGAACATTGCATGGATTTTTGCTGACAAATTCAAGCTTGGTCTCAATCTGCTCCGTCTATATATAAATATGCTCTCTCTTTTTCAAAATGTATTCAGTTCAGACCTACCTGGTATAATTCTTAATCCACTTTTTCCTCATTTTTTCTTAGATCAGATAGAGATCATGAAGTCACTGCTATGATGAAAGCAACCTTCATGAGTTTATGGGATGGTCTCGCTACCGAATATGACAGTCAAATTATGGTGATGGGAGCAACAAATCGTGCTCAGATGATTGATCAAGCTATTTTGCGTCGCTTGCCGATTCGACTCCACGTACCAATGCCAGTGAGTAATAAAAAACTGTATTTGTAACTGTAAATCATATACATTTTTTTACATTACCTTGTTGGTTTGAGGGCTGTGGTAAATGAAAATGTGTGAAAAGACTTGCCAGGAATGTCGAAAGCGAATCGAATGTAGTAGTGAATAATTTGAATTTAGAAATAATTTAGTATAGTTACGTTCAAAAATTTATTTTATTTCAAGCATTTTACTACTTGTAGTCAGAAATACCATGGACTTAATGTAATTTCTCACTGTAAAGTATAGGGAATAAATCAAATCGATCTTTGGTTCGAATTTTTGTGCTTCACCAAATTCAATTTATATCAATTTTCCATGATTTATGCAAATTTATCTGTGGAACAAGACCCAATTCAGACTAAATATATATTCGGAATGTATTCGGAATAACAGCAGATCATTCTATATTGGCAATCCCTGGTTTCATCTTTCTTTTGAATTGAAGTCCTTGCCTCCAGTCCATAATGAATACTTTCTTAGTTTTTTCCATTGACAAAAAATGGAATATTGCAAACAAATTGAATATTGGGATGGTACGAAATTAAATATATTGGATTTTTGAAATCTTATCTTAGAAATAATTTAGAAAATTATTTTGAGCATTTAAAGTCTCAATATGTATAAGAAGGACATTTTTCAAGTTTTGATAGTGTAAAATATGGAAAATCCATTGAGTTGCTATTTATCGCTAAGGACATAGCCTACATTGCCAAATTTTCGAACTTATACAATATATATCATCTTCTGTGATATTTATTGAAACACAAGCCAATATAAAATAAAATTTTGTATTCTATATATGTAGGGCTTATCCACAATAATAATAGTCAAAATTAATTAATATTGGATTAGAATATTTATATTATTCAGTTTTCGCCATCTCTGATTTTTTTTTGCAACGTGGCTGTAAGATAAATATTAACAATAGCAATTACCTGACATCTGTAAACAAATTCCTATTTGTATAACCTGAATTTGAGATAATGATTAATTTTCAGGATTTAGGACAACGTTCAAAGATATTAGAAATTGTTCTTGATGGTGAAAACCTTAGTAGCGATGTCAATTTAAATGAATTGTCGGAAGGTCTGCGAGGATTTAGTGGCAGTGACATCAGAGAAATGTGTCGACATGCGTCAGTGGCAAGAGTACATGAACATATCAAAATGGAAGAGAGCAGGTTAGAAATTTTGTATTCTGTAAATGTTATTTCAAAGAATTAAATGCTGTTGCTGTTGTTAGCAGATTTTTTGGTGGTCTTATATATAAATTGTTGTCAAAGCATATTACAGCTGAGTCACACCATAAAACAAAGGATTTTATAATATTGTCAATTGCCATATATGTTGTTTATCAAATCTTTTTTACATTCAGTGGTTTACGAAGTTCAGCTTTGCGTCCAATAAGCATGGATGATTTATCAAAGGCTGCCACAGTGATGCAAAAAAGTAAAGGAACTGAATTACCTTATTTATTTCCACAAGCAATGAACAAGGGCACTGGAGAACCAGTAGATTAAGCAACTAAAGGAATTAAGATGTCATGAAATTCAAAAAAGCAGATTAAAATCTGCATGAATTTTAGTATGCAATGAATACAGTATCAAGGCATCAAAATCGTTTCTTCACTGTTCTAATGTTGCGGAGCCCCCAAAAACAAAAGCTGATATAATAGATATTCCTATTTGGGTAAAGTTTGATTAATTTTTGAATAATAATAATATTTTTATTTGGCCTTATTTGCTATGTAATGTAAGAAAGCATTTTTGGACTTAAAATTGAGCTTTCTTTTTCGTGATGCTTCGATGTTAGCAAAGCCTCTATTTTATGGCAATTTTCGCATTTATGTTATGCACTTTTGTCCCAGATTTTTTTTTAAATATGTTTTTAGGTTCTTACACTATCGCTTAATTGCATATTTAATTTGTTATCTTCAAAGCATGCCACTGTTCGTAGAGCTTAGCGATAGTTATAGATGGATGGCACCCCGCTGTTGAAATATGCACTAATCATCGTCGTGAGAATCACTCTCGTAAACCATCGTCTTTGCCTTTTTTGCATCATAACTGGTAACTATACGAGAGGCCGTGGTACCCCGTCTCATCGACTTTCCTTTCGCCCAGGAAGCAGGAATCTCTTAGACTGTTAAGGTTTCTGTGCTATTTCTTGACAGTGAAATCCATTACCCTTAAATTTCATAAATATCAGGATTGGTTAACCATTTTATTCCAGTGATATCTACTTACATTTACTGTGTACGTACATAATTCATTTCTTGCCTGAATTTTTCTTTAATTTCACCGTTGGGCTATCAGATGGTATCGTATCCTAGACCTGTCATCATTCATGCATCATTAATACTGAGTTGAAAATGTTGAATTTACTTTGGTATGGTCGTCCGATTCTGGAGTATGACATATATACAGTTGATAGATTTTGCGTAGTTTCTTTTATCTTTCTTTTGCTTGAATGATTTAATTCCTTCAGTTTAAAAATTTTGGGTACAATCATACACAAACGGCAGAAGTTTAAGTGTTAAATAAATTTTCCTAATTTTGTGTATTTAAGTAATTTGTTAATTCTGTTTTTCGGGTTAACCTCTATGCTTATCATTGAATATGTTAATGTTGGGAAGTCTCTTTTTGAATTCCAAAATTCATTACAATAGTATATTGATACTTTCAAAAGTCATTGCAAATTTTTCTGACGTCGTTCAGAAATGTGACTTACCCAAATTAAGTGTCAAACTGAGATTGTATTCATGATGAATAGCATTTGCAGAATACAAATTCATGATAGCAACTATTTATTTGTCACAGATTATCTTCTTAGTTCTCTCTCTTCTCTTAGATAGTATATAGAGTAATAACATTATGAATCTTCAAGGAACCATTGTTGCATTTCTTGTGTCCCAGTCATCATGGGGACTCCTGTATATTGTTGGATCAACTTCCATTATTAGAAATCCACTTGTAATGCTTGCAGCTGGTGTCATATTCATTCCGGGATTTGCAATTCTTTTACGCAAGCTTCTACCATCAGTTTATGAAGACAATCTGGGAACACATAAGAGAAACTGGTTCTTTTATATGTGCTGTCTTTTTTCTTGGTCGTGTGTAATAGACATTGTATTATGTCTGGAATCACTTGGCTATATCGACGGATACATGGACTTTTATTTGGAAAGCGGGGAACCCTATTTCATTACTTCATTTGGAATTTATATCAATATGTGGGATGCAGTTATTCACTACATTCTCTATCTTACTATTATTTACAAATATGACAACAAACAGGACTACAGAAGTTATGGCATTTACTGGCTGGGTTCGATGCTTGCGGGAATGTTTGTTCTCACGATAGGAGCGATTGTAGGAAGTTATGGAAATGATCTTCATCCTGCTATGTTTCTCAACATTCCTTACATAATATTGCCATTCTGTGCTCTTGTATACTTATTAAGATTACCTAGAGATGAAAATTCACCTGTACAAGAATACCCTCCTGCAGAATTGAGGTAAGTGGCTGTCACTTGTACGATTTTAAACTATAGTTTGTTGTTTATACCAAATCCTAAAGGAATAAAATCTTTAGCAGTCTGAATTGCGGTGTTATGTTAGTGTGGTTTCCGACTTCCGCATTTCACCCGTGTTGGAACAGATAGGATTTTCAAGTATAGATTTTGGGGGGGATGGTGATCTTTTGTATAGATGCCTAACGATGTCGTAGCTGTCATGTGGGTCTCTGTGTGATTGTGGGTAGTCTGTCAGAGCTTGAATAAATATCTTTAATAATTTAAGTATGCTGTGCTATGGTAAGCTCTTCAAATGTTTATTCACAGTGACCAAGTATAATAGTTATAATATATCCGGATCACATCATTTTTTGTGTCATGAAGAGCCCTTTAACTTGGACATATTGCATTCCATAAACGTTTTTCTGTTTCTTTCAGATCAAAATCCATTGGAGCATTTGATATCCTTGTAATATTAGGTCTGATTGCATCAACTGTGATTGGTTTTGTTCGAGGTCTTGCTTCTCTTGGATCGCCCTTCCCAATGATTGTTCATTACGTTAAGGAATATGAACCTTATCTGTCAGATCCGACCAAGTTTGGAGCATTGCACTGTCTTTTCAATTTTGTTTACTGCTTACCAGCTCAGGTAGTAATGTAATATCAATTCTTTCAGCTGGTATTCAGTTGGATGTTGTATTATGCATAAAAAAATCATTATTAAACTAATATGTATTCTTCATATCAGATGTTTTTCATGAAAAAATAATTTTGGGAATGAGAAGAGTGTCCGAAAAGAATTTTAAGTGTATATTTGATCATATTTTTGTTATCAAGTTGAGAAAATCCAACTAGTCTTTGTGGGTTATATCTTGTGAACTTTTAGTCATTCTCTCTTTCGCAGTTTTTCTGAACACATGCAAGGGTGCCAGCGATAAAGTAACATGTCCATGTTTGGGCCGCTATTAACTAAGCTTGCTTGACAGAATAAAATAAAAAATTTGCCAAGGTTGTTGCACCTGTCATCAGTGCCACAGTGGTGTAATGTTACGGGACCAAACCTCTTCAAATTTAATATTCATATGTATCCTTTATTCATTCAAATATCCAGGTGATGCTGATTTATGCATTGGTTAAAGGAGGAGGAAAATGGGCAGATGATTTGTCAACAATTTTATCTGGTGCAATGGCACAGGTGGGATATTTCCGATTATTTGTTTTACAAAACCCCTTTCTCTTATTAGTTCAATTTTGACTCTATTTTTTCATTTAGGGTGTATTTTTCCATGCATTGGCTGCTGTATCAAGTCTGACTCCTTTGGAATTCCGTGTTGTCAGTAATGTTGAATTTTTCTTGGTATTGAACGCTCTTATTGTCCTGGTTCCTCATTTTGCTATGTTCCGTCTTAAACAGAAGAAGAACGAACATTTGAAGTTCCAATAAATCGGATTGAGTGGAAATACTTTTACGAATTTTAGACAATTTTTTCTTCAATTCCTTTATCATTAATCGTTATAATAAGTTTGTGATCTATCTACACTGTTGTGAGTTTCTCTATAAATTTTATGTACTGTATTTTTGGGGATGTATTTTGTAAAGAACACTATTTCATATTTTCTTGAACAATTTTGTATGAGAAACTAATCCAAAATTTCTTTATATGGATACCATGAAGTCCATGGCTTCATTTGGCAAACTCATTAACATGAAACGTTCTAAATTTAGACTCTTGTTTTTGGATCTGATTTGTGAAAAAACACTGATTATGTATGTTATAGGATTTTCAATAATGGTATTATAGTGTACTCGATGACCAGTGACCACAATTCCATGGGACTTCTTGCGTCGGTGCTAGTGATGTGTATAATGGTTTTATTACATTTGAACCCGCGACAATTGCACCTATGGAATTTTTTATTTATACATTTGAACCCATACTAACCCTGGATTTTAGCACCCTCATATAGATTGAACCCGCGGATACACGGGCGCAAATGTATGGGTTCAAATTTACCGTCACCGCGTATAATATGAACATAATATGGGCTGGCGCATAGTGTTTAATCCAGATAATAAGTTTCAGTATGTGTTCATGATTTTCAACAATATTTACTATGCAGTTACAATATTTTATTGCGGTTATTTTTTCTATAAATATTGGTGCCAAATTTTCAATACTGTATCTTGATTCACTGATTAGCATTGGACTTCAATACAATATTCAATACTTGTTTGTATCTTTCTCCACAATCTGCGCACGATTTTTCGTTGAGCAAACACATTTTGGGTTGGTATTAAACTTTTGTACAGGAATGAATGTAAATCGTGGCTTTCAATCAAAAGGCAAATTTTCTTTCAAGTAGGCTCGGGTTGACTTTTGGCGTAAGTGTGGTAGTTTGATTTTAAGACGTATGGCCAAGAAAGCTCCGGCTAATATTTGTTAATTGTCCGTAGTCCCGCAGATCTGGCGAGACTGTCACAAGCTTAAGCTCGATTATAGTTTCCCCATCACGTGGTATATGTAGGGAAAGGTGGGGCACGTTGGGACATAGCGCACAGTGGAAAATCAGCTCTCACACTAATACTATATTCGGAATCCGGTCCGCGGTTTGATGTTTCAATCCGCCCTTCGGTGAGTTACAACGTCCCCGCAAACGGACAGCGGGCGGGTAGAGCGACGCAAGCTATGAGGTGAAATTGGTTTTGGGGGGTCGAAACTAAAATTTCACCGTTCCAGTTTTTTCTTTTTCCTAACTTAGCCTTTTCAACGTGACAAACCACCGTCTGATATCTTTCAGCTATAGTCCACTGTGAAATATTTATAACGTTGGCGAGTGGATGGGCCTTCCGAATTTTGCCGTGGGATGATCTGAAGATATTTGTTGATTATAGGAAACAATGGACCGGGGTTCAGTGGGACATGTCCTACATGGCACAATTTGACAGTGTTTGATACAACAAGTGCTTAGAGACCTAGAAATGCGTTATATTTTTATGTAACATTATGGTATCTTTCGACTCATGGTTCAATATGAAATATAATCGAGAATCAAAAATATTTCCAGATTTAGATTCGGATTAGAAAATAATTTAATTTGTAAGCGAATTTTTTGGTGAAATATCTGAAATATTTCGGTTGAACATTGATTTTAAAAATCTTAAATCTTCAAATTTGAGGTCTCCCTGTTCTTTAGACGATTATGCTGATTGATTGCTTATTTTTAAGGGCATACTTCGTTGAATTTTAACAGAATGACCCATTGTGCCCCAGGGTCTGTCCGAATGTGCCCCACAAGTGGGGTACAGTGGGACACTTGACAAACGTTTTTCAAAGCATTTTGGTGGTAAGATGTGTGTCGCAAGGGAATTTCTTAGTCGCTGAATAAAAACTACATTTAGCCCTCTCTGCATTAATCCCGCAAAGTCATATGGATGTGCAGAATAAATGGCTCAAAATATGAAAAAGAAAAAAAGTGTCCTAACCTTCCCCACTTTCCCCTACGTGCTTTGGGTGAGGATTCGCTGTGGAGTTGATACAATGGCCAACATGAGTCGAAAGATGATCCGAAGTGAATGTTTCTGCCAGTCCGTCAACCTTGTTTGTAAGCGGTTCCTGTAGCCAATCAAACAAGTCCTCTATCTTGTCTTTTAACCATCAATATATATGATCTCCAAAGCAATATTTTTGGTTTCCTCAAAGTAATAGTCTCTTCACCCTTGTCTTTAAGAGTCTCCACCAATAGGCTTGGCGATACATTTTGATACAAAATATTTCTTCATTGTTCCATTCTGTTTATCAGAATATTACCTTACAATATTAACAAAAACCATTTCTAAGTGTTTTCTGTTTGTCTTTTTTGTTTACTAGGTAATTTACTACTTTGTTACACGTAGGTTTTTCTCGTTGTTTATTTTTATTCAATATATCGTTCTGGTTGTGTGTGAGCGTGCGGGTAGGCTATGTATAAATCAATAATATAACTTTAGTTTGGTGAATACGAACCACTTCCTTCAACAAAACCTTTACTATTTAAATTTTATACGGTTTAAAATTCAGGGGTTCTCAACCTGGGGTTCACGAGTAGATTTCAGGGGTTCACCCCCGGGGGTTCACGAGAAGATTTCCATGTGTACTTGGATACGGTTTAAAATTCAGGGGTTCTCAACCTGGAGTTCACGAGTAGATTTCAGGGGTTCACGAGAAGATTTCCATGGGTACTTGGATGGCAGTCGAGTTTTTTTTTTCAATATCTTTTAACAAAGGAAGACTAAGTAACTACCAGATGAAAATGAAAGCCAATTGAAACTTAGCGTAAATTTTCACTGATCTAGCGTTGTTGTGATTGTGGCACAGTAATGTGAAATTCAGCCAAACTGTGAAATCTTAAAAGACAATGCGCTGCGAGCATTGCAGAAAGTGATAACTGTGAAATCTTAAAAGACAATGCGCTACGAGCATTGCAGAAAGTGATGTGCTCATCGAATCTTGAGAGATTTCAAGAATTCATTAGCTAGGTGGAGGACAAGGGCAATAACATCAACACGGATATTTAATTTAGTTACAGCAGTTGGTCAATAAATTGTTGTTGCAGCAAATTGTCATTCTAATTAACAGAATAAAGGTTGAGAAACCCAGGTTTAAATCGAAGAGTGTTATCACTATAAAGCGATTATAATTAGAAAATCTGTAAATTATGTATCTGGAATTGCGTCTCCGTACTCTATATGTTTACTAAATATAACTTCGACTCAGAGACATTCGAGAAAACGACTTTGACGCTCTTGCGTTTACAATTCCAACATCACATCCCACGCTTATCTCATTAAAATGATTCCGTTTTTGTCAATACTTTTATATTTCAGAACATAAATCATATTTACACAAAACATAAATCAAATAGTCAAACGATTTTGTAATATATATATATTAGTTACAGCCATCCTCGACGTCCATTACCCATCTCATACCCATCTGCTCGAATATTCCGTTCATTTTATTTGCAAATTGCGATACAAAGTGATTTTTTGGAACACATTTAGTTGCAGGTGCCTTCTTTCCCTTTTGTTCAGTTGTCTCGGCGTTTGTTTTGCTTGCTACAGTAGTTTCTGGGCCCGCCTTAACTGAACTTTTAACTAAATCTGTTTCCTGGATTGTCAAATCTTTATCTTGGTTGGTAGGTAATTTCAGAATTGTTTTGGTACTTTCAAATTCTCTAATCTTTCCGGAAATAGGATATTTCTTTTCTGGTTCACATCCTTCTTCTACTTCGGTCTTTATCCAATGCGATAACTTTTCATCGTCGATAGAAAGTGTATAGTTTTGAGGGATTTCAACAAATCCGGCTAGAAAGAAATGCAGAAGATACCATGTTATTTCATATGTCCCCGTTTATTTAAAATTGTGGCATACAAATCCATACATTCTTTGCTCATGGTGTATATCAATACTTATAACTGTGTAATACCCACCTCCTTTCATGACACATCTGCAGTCGTGAACGCAGCAATGCATATTATCAGGATGTTTATTGCAATCTTCAAATTTAACCAATTTGTTGTTACATAAGTTGTAGCATGGTACTAAATCACCTTTGAAGCCCCTTTCTGTAACAACAAAAATGATAATAAGAATGGCTGTCGAGAGTTGTTTAAGTGTAACATCTCATAAGTTAATATTATCATAGATATAATCATATCGAGCTCCGCTAGATGCCTTATCTTTCCTCAGAAAGAAAAAAACCTGTTTTAAATAAAATTGAGACAAAATTCTTACCTGGTTCACATTGCTGCTGTCCCAATTTGTAGCGAAACTGAAAACATTTGAGTTGAGTGAATGGTGCTGCTTTAATTTCAAACAAGCTTACCATCAGAAGTAGAGAGACTGTTGCCACATTCATGTTTGATCTACAGAGCTGTAATTGGTAAACACCAAAAAATATTCAAAAATTCATATATATTTCAAAAATAACGCTAAAATAGCAATTTGGCAAGTGAAATAAGTGGAGTCATACACTAAACATTTCCTACTCTCCGAATAGAAAAAAGGACATGATATACATTGGCTATCTTTTCTAATAGAAATAAAAGCTGTAGCTGACAGGGACGCTAGTTGCGTAACCAGGAATTTTCAAAATGGGAAGGGGATTTTGAAATTTGTGATTGTGAATTAAAACCGTATCAGCTAGCGGGTCCGGTAGACGCCCTAGACCTGGAGGACGAACGCTGTTTTGGGTACATATCAACCAGTATACGATCATAATCACGAGGATACTGCATCGTTCTATTTTTATTTTCATTTGAAGGCATTGGAAATGGAATTACGAATTGTGCCATAACTTATAAATGTGTAAAGATAGATGGAAACAATATTCAACTAAAGTCTAAGCGACTATAGATAGAAATCATAAGCAACCTTTTTATCGTCCCCGTTTTTGGTTGTCCCTCCTTGTGTTTCTGCAAGATGCTTGATGTCCCTAAATTTTTGTAGCACTATTTATAATATCCCATGCATCACCTCAAGCGTAATTTTTTCAAATCAGCTTACGGTATACCTCGATTAAAGAGAGTTTCAGAAACCAACATTGGTATTAGTATTTTTTGCTGAATTTGAATAATTTTTGTCACCAAGTGCAATGTTTATTTAAATCTCCTGTAAATGAATTTTGTGCGTCATAATCCATCAGAATCCGCTTATATTTTTAATTTATGTAAATGCAAATTGTAATACAACAATGACTGCGATAATCTTGGAATGTACGACCCAGACGGATTTTCATCTGATAAAATCGTGTGGGACTGAATAAGACTGACAAGAAAAAACTGACAAGAAAGAAATCCTCACGTTTTCCAATATTGTGACCGTTTCAAATATACATTTTGCTAATGGATAGTAACTGTGTTGATAGGTAGTTAATATCTACAATAATGCCATTTTGGTAATACCTTGCGGTAATAAACGCCAATATGTAGCATAGTTATTTATTCCATATTCATTTGATTTCTACCTACCCATCTTGTCATTATTTTGCACCTGATCCTATTTGATGAAGCTGAATGCAAAACAATGGTGTTTGGGTAAGGGAAGGTGGGTCACAGTGGAAAATCAGCTCTCACACTCATACTATATTCGGAATCAGGTCTGCGGTTCGATGTTTGAATCCGCCCTTCGGTGTGGTACAACGTCCCCGCAAACGGACAACGGCCGTGAAGAGCAACGCAAGTTGGGATGAAATTGGTTTGTGAGGGTTGAAACCATCGTCTGATATTTTTCAACTTCCACTGTAAAATATTTATAACGTTGGCATGTTGATGTGCTTTCCTAATCTCGACGTGGGACAGTCTGAAAATATATGTTTCCTATGGGGAACAATGGATGGGGTTTAGTGGACATGCTCCACTGAGCACAATTCGACAGTGTTTGATCCGTTAAGTACTTGAACGCTTAGAGATGCGTTATATTTTGTGTAATATTAATGTGCCTTTTGACCCATGGCCCAATATGAAATATATTCTAGATTTAAAAATATTTTTTAAACACAGATTTGTAAAGATAAAAAATTTGCCTTTGGCCGGAATTAGAGATTTTACTTAATAATATATAAATGCTGGTTTTATTTTAAAAATTAAACCATCGTCTTCTGTTATTTTCAAATATGCCCCAGGGCCTGTCCAAATGTGCACTACAAGTGGGGTACAGTTAGACACTCGACAGACGTTTTTTTTTTTTTGAAGCATTTTAGTGAAAAGATGTGTATCGTTAGAGGATTTTTTAGTCGATGAAGAAATACTACATTTACCCCTTTCTGCATTAGCCCCGCAAAGTGAAATGAATGTGCAGAATATAGAGCTCAAAATATGCAAAAGAAAAGAAAAGTCCCAACCTTTCCCACTTTCCCCTAGTTCATAAATTGGGCAAATGCGTACTTTAGTATTAACTACCCTGGATTTTATTTTTCCTTAGCCGTTTTTTTAGCTAATATCTTTGACATTCTTCATGGAAATCAGTTTCTGTCTTCATGGAATGCTGATACAGAAAACAGTTGCAATTAAGAAGATACGTGTATGATATACGATATGTAAGCGTTGTAAATTCACCGCTTTATACACAATAAAAATTAAACGTCAATTATAATTTAATAAAATTTGCAAATAAATGTCCACGTAAAAATTAATGTAAACCATTGTGGAATATCTGATAAAGTTGAATAATATTTTAAATTAAGAAGATCATTGATTGGATTTTGTCTTAAAAAGTAAATTTTTTTAGGAAGTTGTCGTCGAACACTATCGAAATTGAATTAGTTTGCTGGTTACACAAACGGCTTTGGTTAGCAGAAATGGCATATTTATGATAAAGCACGACATTTACAAATTTGTCAACTAGATTTTGTAAAATAGGAAATGTAATAATGGGCCTGAATGCATCTTATTGTTAGAGAAACACAACGGAAGCATCGGCTAACCACCTCCATTCCGACATGACGTCCATGTGCGAGCGAACCTATTTTAATTTCTTATGAATAGAATTTTTAAATGTCATAATCTACCAAAATTTTCGTCATATGTTCATATGTATGGCTGTACGTATAATTCATTTACATGCATGTATGTTTTAGCGTAAAAGTTGTCGTCGAAGACCATTGAAAGCGGATTAGTTTGTAGAATAGTAATGTGCCTGAATGCATTTTATTACACAACGGAAACATCGGCTAACCAACTTCATACCGATATAACTCCATACGGTGTTGCGGTATACCTCGATTTGAATCGGAATTTTTATAACCAACATTGTTATTAGTAAATTGTTTCGTATAGGTTGAATAATTTATTCATCAGGTGCAATATTGGAGTTCATGTGCGAGAGCGCCTATTTTAATCTCTCGTAAATAGATTTTTGATGTCATAATCCACCAAAATCTGCGTCATCTGTAATATGTATTTATATGTATATATGTTTATACGTATAATTCATTTACATGCAAATTGTATTGTAAATAGTCTTGGCAAGTGTATACCTGGCCCAGACAGATTTTTATCTTTTACAAAACAGGAAACCAAATGAGATAAACAAAAATCTACGATTATTGTTGGGAATGTTCCTAATATACATTTTGTTACTGAATTGTAACTATTGGTAAAGTTACTATTGAGTACATATTACATATAGTCTTTGGGGAACAGAGGTTAGAGTTACAACAAAAACACAAAAATTCATAAAATTATAAGAATTTGTTAATGATTTGGTCTAATAAACCAGCACATAACCCATTTGGTTCATATTCTCCCATCCTGCCAGTAGTTTGCACTTGATCTTATATAATTAGAATTAAGGTAAGAGACTGGTGATTAGGTAGTTTATAAATTAGCCAAATGGTTATTTTAGTATTCAACACTCTCAGTTTTGTTTTTCCGTGAATAATGAAAATTGAAGTTGTATGTTTTTTTAATTTTGATAATGACGTTTATCACTTTACAAAACACGCAGGACGTCGCATAGTTTACTGTTTCGAGTGCGTTGATTTTGACCTACAATGCAAATTACCTAGGTTTTAATTTGGAGCTATTCTGAAATTTATTACAATCAAATGTGGATACAAAGAGTCGCAATCATAGCGATACGTATATGTTATAAGTTTACCGCTTTAATATATAATGAAAATTAGACTTTGGATGAAAAAAACTTTCAAATATATGATCAAGTGAAAAAAGTGTGAAGCATGGTGGGATATTGGATGGAAGTGTTTTAAAGAAAAAGGCTACTAAAAGTTAATTTTCATTTAAAATTGCAAAGATCATTATTTGCATTTTTATTAGAAGGAAGAAACTTTTAGGAAGTTATCGTAGAACACCATTGAAATTGGATTAGTCTGCAGGATACACAAACTGCTTTGGTTACATCAAATGGGATATTTATGATAAAGCACGCCATTTACAAATCTGTTAACTAGATTTTATAAAATAAAAAATGTAATAATGTGCATGAATGCATCTTATTGTTAGAGAAACACAAAGGAAGCATCGGCTAACCACCTCCATTCCGATATGACGTCCATGTGCGAGCGAGTCTATTTTAATCTCTTATGAATAGAATTTTTAAATGTCATAATTCACCAAAACTTTCGTCATATGTTTATATGTATTGCTGTGCGTATAATTCATCCACATGCAAATTGTAATGTAACAATGACCTAATATTGATACCTGGCCCAGATGGATTTTTATTTTTTGAAAACGCAGGAATCCGAATAAAACAAACAAAAATTTCCGATTTCATCTATGTTGTGAATGTTTCTGATATATATTTTGATACCGCAGCTGTTGGTAAAGTTTCTAGTACGTATAAATTCGTATAAACAATGATGAGACAAAAAAATTTTAAATTACGCGATTTTGTTAATGGTTTGGTCTAATAATCAAGTACATAACTCATTTTGTCCATACTCACAATGCTATCAGTATTTTGCATCTGATCTTATTTAGTTAGTTTGTACAGTTTAGTAATTAGATAAGTGGGTAATTTACTACTTAATACTCTGAATTTTATGCCTATGTCACGTATGGATATTGGTGTTTTAGATTTTAGTGAGTTTTTGCGACCACGATACGTAAAAGTTGTGAAGTCACCGCTTTGTTGCATAATGAAAATAGGTAAAAAAAAACTTTCAAATGAATGCTATATATATGGTAAAATGATTGTGAACCATGGTGAAATATAGGATGAAAGCGTTTTAGTGTAAAAGTTGTCGTCGAACACTATTGAAAGCGGATTAGATTGCAGAATACCCAAACTACTAGGATTCTACAAATCAGTATAAGATAAAACACGTGATTTACAAATATTGTTAACTAGATTTTGTGAAATAGGAAATGGTATAAAGTCTGCCAGGCTCACCGTAGCAATATCGATTTTTGGTACATTTTTAAACATTTGTTTTGCTGTAGCTCTGTTAATCCTCGTTAACATGTAGTGAAAATAACGCAAGGCAGTTTTCCACCATTCATCTTATTCCCCCATGATGAAATTGGGCGAAATCAACTCCAAATTTCTGCAAATTATCCAAGGCACACTCTAATTATTTGAAACAAGTAATTAGTTAAATATTTAGTGCAGGTTTTGGATAATTAACCATGAAAAACACTACATGTACAGCCTAAATATTAATTATATGTGTTTGTAGTAGTTTTATTTATCACACATTATTTTTATTCAAATTTTTCTTTGTTTGATTGTGCATGATGAAATTCGAAAATTACAATCAGCGGACGCTTCCGAGAAAAGTAATATTCCAATCCAAGAGGAAATATGATAAGAAATGTTGTGATACCCATCTGCAAATATCACAATAAAAATACTCAGAATGGAAATTTATTTGGAAATAATCAGCAATCGACGATAAAATAATTGATGAAAACAAAACAAAAAAAAAACTGATTATAGAATCGGGAAAGCAAACGAAACCTCAAGTAAGGTTTAAAGCGTACATATTTTAGGTGGGAAGGTATTGAAAAAAAAAGTAGTACGTAAGAGTTAGTACACACACACACATACAATCATCGAGACACAATAAGGTCGGAAGTGAAAAAAGCGAGACATAAAATCAATTACTCAGTAAAAAGAAAAATATACAAACAAATAAACAAAATGAATAAATTTTTTTGCCACACCAAATTATTAATTTTATGAGGATTGCCGAATTGGATACCGAATTAGTCAATAAGAGTCATATACTGTGGATAGAAAAATATTCCTCAAAAGATATCGTCAAGCTGAATATAATTGGAGTCACCTAATGCTAAATTGCCCAATCAGAGTTGCCAAGTTGGATGCATGAAGAGGGGAGCTAGACCTGCTTCACTCACCAGATAGAAGCCAAAACTTGCCAAATTAACGTCCAAATTATTTTAAAAACTATTAATCAATAAAAGTACCGGTGATTATAATTAAAATTAATTAAAGCGGTATGATACAAAGGTAGGAAAATTGGTTACGGGAATATATAGGCTAATAAAGGTTGAAGTATGGTTTCTAAGGTCACGGATTACAGGCAGGAAAATTTAATTGATTAAGTAAATATAACTGGTTGTTGATCACTGCGGTCATTTCGAATTCATCACTGATAACCTTTTATGTTGAATTAGCTAGATTTTAAATTGATCATCATGACGTCCTGAAAAACGAAAGTATATCTGTGAGTACAATAATCAATGATTGCGAATAAGGATTCAATAGAAAACTACCCTCCACTTTTGAGAGGAAGTGGTTGATTTGTGTGAATATTGATCAATATTATTACTTATCATCGATTTTAATCGGTAAGTATGTTGAAAGGTATTTGTCTGTCTGTGTGTTTGTCTGTCTGTCTGTGTGTTTGTCTGTCTGTCTGTCAGATGCACGCGATATCTCACGAAAGTGAGATTGAATCTGCTCCAGATTTTGCATGTGCATTCAACATATGTTGGACCAGAAGCCTATTGATTTTGGATGAATTATGTCGTATAATTAGCGAGGTAATAATTAATTAGTGATATGTCACTATGGAGTAAGAGCGCTGTTTTGGGGGATCCCTAACTTTCGATCGATAAGTCTTCGGTCTCTGACCGATATTCTCGTTTAACTATTATTAAACTGCTAGTTGAAAGACCTGAAAAGGGGGAGATTGTGGTTGGGACACAATAGAAATTGTTCACAAACCATGCAAAAACCTTTCGATATCGGTCAAACACACTCATGTTGGCTATTATCTTAAGCATTAACATCACACTAACTATCACACATTTGCATGCTCTAACTACACAGCATAACTTCGAGACCAAGAATAGAATCTTTGTATACACGCAGGTCACAGCATATAATACTACAGCAAGTTAAAATGCAGGGGCGAATCCAAATATGGTCACCTAATTACAATAATAGGTACAGGAGTTTATTTATGGCGTCTACAGCCCTCACAAAAAATCACACCACCCAAATAGAAAACAAAGATCATGCATGTGGTATATCAGAAACCCAACATTGAAAGAAAAAGGAAACATGCGCATGCAGATGTCAGAATGTGGACAGCCATATGAGGAAAAATCTTATACTACGCATGCTATAGAACAAAATAAAAAGCCAACTGGAAGGCAAAACAGATGAAGAGAGCTTAACTGCTTGTTCAAAAATAAATTAGCAATCTCAGACACAATAACAATATTATGGCTTTTCAACATTTTCATGAAAATAAGTAGCCTATGTGCAAGTGAGGAATGTCCCAACTTATGTCATGGTCTTTCTTTTGAAGTTGTAGCTGATTACATGCAAAAAATATATATCAGTGTGGTTCTGAAATTATACCTTTTTTGGCAAGGAATTGTTATGAAAATCATAGACTAATGATAATACTTCAAATTTCCTTATATCCCCAACTTTGAGTATATTTAGCTTTTTATAGAAATGGTTTACACTTCACCTTTACTTTCGATATTTGTGATTTCCAAGACAGATTTTCATTAAAGATAACTCCTAGAAATTTTATTGAATGTAGAAATGAAAAACCTATAATTTTTATCTATACCATTCTGTACAGGTACAGTATACACCATTCTACTCAGTAACATTATGTGTCCGCGATCAAAGTACTAGAAGTGAGAAGAACCATATATATACAGGTGACTCATGTACATATACACCAATCACATTTACTGCTATTCAAGTGTTGCACATTTACAGCGGATCGATTTTATATACATGCAAGCTATAGCGTTGGTAATCAAACAGTTACGCTTTGTTCAATATCCTAACCAGGAGAGAAGAAAACAGCTGGCTGTATTACAGTGGTTTCGAACGCACGCGACTACACCTCCTGGTGGGGGTGAACAATGATGTGAAACAAGGTAGTACCAGCGACTACAGGCAGTGGTCAGCACCAACTGGGTTCTATCCCTGGGTTCCAACCCCAATGCCACACAAAAAAGAAACTAGCGCAATGGATCATCCCCACAAAAGTTCATTTCCACCAAAAGTCGTTCCTGCGAATATATATCCAAGTTCACAACATTCGAAATGTGCCTTGAGATCAAACAATTGGGTCTCTCTACAAAACGTTTGTAATTGCGTTGAAAAGTGACATATATACTCATATATAAATTTAAGAATTTGCCACCTCCCCTGGCTTTTCATATGCAATCATTGAAACATCTACCCGTAGATTCATTTTTCAGTGTTCAGGTTGCTTCACAGCGATCAAATGAATTTGGCAGCTTGCTTGTTCGTCATATATGGTTTTTATGAAATGTATGAAGACTTCGATGAGTATTCTATGCTAATTTCGAATTGACCACACAAACAACAACCCCTATCTAAATTTCATGGCTATAAATATAGAGCCAGACTTTCGCCTTGATATCTAGATATGTTACTCTAGATACTCCCTGATCTAGATACTCCCTGATTTTAATAATTGATATGATCTGGACTTTAATTTAGTTAGTTATGGAACAGGTGAATAAGGTGGTCTGGTCTAGCGTAGCACAGCTCTTCCTGCATCCAGCTAACAGTCCGCTATAGAGAGACTACACCAATAATAAGCTTGGCTCTTCATTGTTTATTCTGTCATTTTTGAGTTTTGTCTGTTTCTCGTTTTTGTTTCTTAAGTAATTTATTAATTTGTTACTACGTAAGTTTTTCTCGTTGTTTATTTTTATTCAATATATCGTTTTGGTTGTATGTGAGCGTGCGGGTATGTATAAATCCATATCATAATTTAAGTTGATACGAACCACTTCTTTTAACAAAACCTTTTCTATTGAATTTTTCAACGTTTGAAATGTTATCAGTATCACTATCGTATCTAGAAATGTGCCTCCGAATTCTATATGTTTACTAAATATAACATAGACTCAGAGACATTCGAGAAAACGACTTTGACTCCCTTGCGTTTACAATTTCAACTTCACATCCCACGCTTATCCCATTGAAATGATTCGGTTTTTGTTAATACTTATATATTTCAAAACATAAATCAGATTTACATACAGCATAGTCAAACGATACTTTGTCAGTAAAGGAATATATATATATAAATAAAAAGATATCGACAGACACATTGGATTAAAATGAAAATTTGAATTCCAAAGTGATGGAGTATAAGTAATATATATTAGTTACAGCCATCCTCGACGCCCATTTCCCATCTCATACCCATCTGCTCGAATATTCCATTCATTTTTCTTGCAAATTGCGATACAAAATGATCTTTTGCAATGCATTTAGTCGCAGGTGCCTTCTTTTCCTTTTGTTCAGTTGTCTCGGCGTTTGTTTTGCTTGCTACAGTAGTTTCTGGGCCCGCCTTTACTGAACTTTTAACTGGATCTGTTTCCTGGATTGTCAAATCTTTCAGAATTGCTTTGGTACTTTCAGATTCTATAATCTTTCCGGAAATGGGAAATTTGTTTTCTGGTTCACATCCTTCTTCTACTTCGGTCTTCATCCACTGCGATAATTTTTCATCGTCGAGAGAAAGTGTATAGTTTTGAGGGATTTCAACATATCCGGCTAGAAAGAAATGCAGAATGGTATCATATTTCATGTTATTTTACATGTCCCCGCTTTTTACATGTTTGTAGATACAAATCTATACATTCTTTGCTCATACTCATAACTGTGTACTCTAAAAATAACATGATGATACATGGTATCAGCTGTTGTGCAATTGTTTATACCCACCTCCTTTCATGACGCATCTGCAGTCGTGAACACAGCAATGCATATTATCAGGATGTTTATTGCAATCTTCAAATTTAACCAATTTTTGGTTACATAAGTTGTAGCATGGTACTAAATCACCTTTGAAGCCTCTTTCTGTAACAACAAAAATGTTATTAAGAATGGCTGTTGAGAATTGCTAAGTGTGACACCTCATCAGTTGATATTATCATAGATATTATCATATCGAGCCCCGCTAGATGTCTTATCTTTTCTCAGAAAGAAAAAAAACTGTTTAAAATAAAACTGAGACAAAATTCTTACTTGGTTCGCATTGCTGCTGTCCCAATTTGTAGCGAAACTGAAAACATTTGAGTTGACTGAATGGTGCCGCTTCAATTTCAAACAAGCTTACCATCAGAAGTAGAGAGACTGTTGCCACATTCATGTTTGATCTACAGAGCTAAAATTGGCAAACACCAATTAATATTCAAAAATTCATATTGCAAAAATACCAATTTGGCAAGTGAACAATTGCTGGTCGTACAATGAAGGGAGTCGTACACTAAATATCCCCATTCTCCGAATAGAAAAGGTCATGATATACATTTGCTTCCTGGTGTAATAAAAAATTCAAGCTGACGGGGTTCGAGCACCGGTTGCGTAACCAGGAATTTTCAAAGAGGGGAGGGGATTCTGAAATTTGTAATTGTGAATTAAAACCGTATCAGATGGCGGGTCAAGCAGGCTACGCCCCTGGGGGACGCACGTTGTTCTGGATGAATATCAAACAGATACGACCATAATCTTGAGAATGCTGCCTCGTTATTTTTTTTTTGTAATTGAAGACATTGGAGATGGAATTACTAATTGTGCCGTAAATTATACCTGTGTAAAAATAGTTGGAACAATATTCAACCAAAGTCTAAGCGACTATAGATATAAATCATAAGCAACCTTTTTATCGTCTCCGTGTTTGGTTGTCCCTTGTTGTGTTTCTGCAAGATGCTTGATGTCCCCAACTTTTCGTAGCACTATTTATACTATCTCATGCATCACCTCAAGCGTTTTTTTTAAATCAGTGTGTAGATAGAACAATCGCATATGAGCATAATGACATTTAATATCACAGTGACATTTAAAGCCGCCTTCAGGATGCATAGGAGGTTATTGTGAGAGAATGACATCGAGTGAAATTGCTGATTACCTTCATACCATTATGACGTCAATATGGTCTTACGGTATACCTCGATTTAAGAGAGTTCAAAAACCAACATTGTTATTAGTAAATTTGCTCTTAATTTGAATAATTTTCATCAAGTCATCATCATCAAGTGCGATATTTATTCTAATCTTCTATAAATAGATTTTTTCGTCTGAATTTGCTTATACTTTCAATTTATTTGAATGCAAATTGTAATACATACAACAATGACTGCAATAATCTTGAAATGTACAACCCAGACAGATTTTTATCTGATAAAATCTTTGAAACTGAATAAGACAAGAACTGACAAAAGTGAAATCCTCACTTTCTTCAATATTGTGACTGTTTCAAATATACATTTTGCTAATGGATAGTAACTGTTTGGATAGGTGATTCTACAGTAATTCCAATTTGGTAATAGCTTGTCGTAATGAATGCCAACTGATTTGATTCATACTCACCCAAATACGTAATTTAGTATTAACTATCCTGAATTTTTTTCTTCCTTGGTCGTTGTTTTAATTAATCGCTTTGACATTCTACATGGAAATCATTTTCTGTCTTCATGGAATGCTGATACAGAAAACAGTTGCAATTAAGAAGATACGTGTATATGATATACGATATGTTATAGCAACTAACCCCCAAATGTACCCCATTTCATGTTAAAAATATGAAAACAAAGTTAATTTCTCTCAAAATTCGAACAAAGACTTTCGTAGGAATCAAATTACACCAGTTTAAAATAACATGTTCCATCCATTCATTATCAAATTAAAATCTATATTCTCAAGACCTTTGGCACTGATTGAAATAATTATATCTAAGTTCCCATCCGTACGATGTACATAATTACCCTTGTTGAGATAATAGGAGTTTCTGTTTATAACGTGAATCACGAGCTCACGTTTACAGTATTTAATAAGATTTATGATGGACGTATAAATACGACTCCGATATCTTTCGATAGTGGAGAGAAGACGATGTAAACCATTCTAAGCTAGTCTGGATAAATGTTATAAGATTTATATTCTGTGTGTTGTGGAAATATACGAATAAAAACATATAGAGATTTTTAACGCATCTTCATTCACGTGGGCGTTGAAGCTGAAGGGTGAACGGGTAACTTGCAAGTCAGAGACAATCTACGAAATAGCAATATATGGTAAAATCCCAGTCATCTAACAACCCTTTATGCTATAATGTAACCGTTGTAAATTCACCATTTTGTTATACAATATAAATTAGACGTCCATTATAATTTAATAAAATTTTCAAATAAATATTCACGTAAAAATGAGTGTGAACCATTGTGGAATATCTGATGAAGTTGAATAATATTTTAAATTACAAAAATCATTGATTGGATTTTTATTAGAAAGTAATTTTTTTTAGGAAGGTGTCGTAGAACACAATTGAAATTGAATTGCAGGATACACAAACTGCTTTGGGTATATGAAATGTAGTATTTATGATAAAGCACGCCATTTACAAATCTGTCAACTAGATTTTGTAAAATAACAAATGTAATGAATGCATCTTATTACACAACGGAAGCATCAGCTAACCACTTCTATTCCGATGTGACGTCCATATAGTGTTGCGGTATACATCGATTTGAATCGGAAGTTCTAGAAACCAACATTGTTATTACTAAATTGTTTCGTAAGTTGAACAATTTATTCATCAGGTGCAATTTTTGAGATCATGTGCGAGGGCGCCTATTTTAATCTTTCGTAAATAGATTTTTTGATGTCATAATCCACCAAAATCTGCGTCATCTGTAATATGTGTTTATATGTATATATGTTTATACGTAAAATTCATTTACATGCAAATTTTATTGCTAAACAACTTAGTATTCAAATAGTCTTGACAAGACAAACCTGGCCCACTCTGAATTTTATTTTTCCGTGATTAATGAAAATTGAAGTTGTATGTTGTTTTAGCTAATCTCTTTGACATTATTGAAACCGTCATAAAAAAAGTTTGGTCGAGTTTTTATGACCTAATCAAGAATATATCTAATCTAGAATATATTTTAATAATGGCTTTTATCACTTTACATAACACGCATGGCGTTGAATACTTCACTATTTCGAGTGCGTTGATTTTGTCCCTAATGCAAATTAGTTTTAAATTAGGCGTTAATTTGAAATTTATTTTAATTAAATGTGTATACAAAAAGTCGAAATTATAACGATACGTATTTGTTGTACGATACGTAACGTTGTAAGTTTACCCATTTATCATACAATGAAAATTAGACTTGGATTGAAAAAAACTTTCAATTGAATAATATTGTGAAAATGAGTGTGAAGCATGTTGCAATATCGGATTGAAGTGTTTTAAAGTAAAAGGCTCCTAAAAATTGATTTTTATTTCAAATTGCAAAGATCATTGATTAGATTTTTATTAGAATAAAGAAACTTTTAGAAAGTTATCGTCGAATACTATTGAAATTGGATTAGTCTGCAGGATTCACAAACTATTTGGTTATATCAAATGGGATATTTATGATGAAGCACGACATTTATAAATCTGTTAACTAGATTTTATAAAATAACAAGTGTAATATTGTGCCTGAATGCATCTCATTGTCAGAGAAACACAACGGAAGCAGGGGTAACCACCTTCATTCCGATATGACGTCCATGTGCAAGTCTATTTTAATCGCTTATAAATAGAATTTTATATGTCATAATCTACTAAAATTTGCGTCATATGTTTGTATGTATGGCTTTACGTATAATTCATTTACATGCAAATTGTAATGTAACAATGACTTAATATTCATAACTGGACCAGATGAATTTTTATTTTTTAAAAACGCAGGAAACCGAATAAGACATCTTCGATTTCATCAATGTTGTGAATGTTTCTGATATATATTTTGATAACGCAGCTGTTGGTGAAGTTGCCATTAGGTATATATTTACAATATCTGGGAAACCGAGGTTACAATAAAAAGACAAAAATTCTCACACTTATGCGATTTTGTTAATGGTTTTGTCAATAATTCATTACATAACTCAGTTTGTTTCTACTTCACCATGCTATCAGTATTTTGCACCTGATCCTATTTAGTTAGTTTGTGCAATTTAGTAATAAGATAAATGGGTAATTTATTACTTAATACACGCATACTTCACTGTTTCAAGTGTATTTGTTTTGTTGTACAATGCAAATCAGGTTTTAATATGGAGTTAATCGGAAACTCATTTTAAGTAAATGTTGATACAGTACAGTTAGACAGTCACAATTAACACTATACGTAAAAGTTGTTAGGTCGCCGCTTTGTTGCATAAAAAAATTAGATAAAAAAAAATTTCAAATAAATGATCTAGTAAAATGGATGTGAACCATGGTGAAATATTGGATGAAAGCGTATTAGTGTAAAAGTTGTCGTCGAACACTATTGAAAGCGAAATAGTTTGTAGAATACCCAAACTACCAGGATTCTACGAAATAGTAGCCTATAAGTTAAAACACGTGATTTACAAATATTGGCAAGTAGATTTTGTGAAATAATAAATGGTATAAAGTTCGACGCGCTTACGATCGATCGATTTTTGGGACATTTTTCAATATTTGTTTTTTCTGTAGCTTTGATCCCCATAAATTGCTAATACCCAGCCCCATTGGAATACATTCAATTCAATAAAAATTGGTAAATTTAGGTTTTGGGTCTACTAAATAGGATTATGCTACATTACAATAAGACATGAAAAACGACAAAATTTATTGACTTTGTTAACTTTAAAAATTCAGAACTTATATATAACTAACTAAAGATAGCTATGGTCAAATATATGTACACGAAGTCCATAACGAAATGTTTCACCACCAATTCCCCAAAAATCATACGGTATCCTGAACAAAACTGAACAGCCACGGTATCTGGGTACCGGTAACGGTACGCGGAGTGTGCTAACTTTTCAAGGCCATGTGAAGATGATCTATACTACATGATTCAGTTTTGTAAAACTGTATTCCCGTGAGTAAAAAAGAATACAGCAAAAGTTTGAATAAAATATCAGATCTAATAGGATTCATAGAATATTTAGGGATAAATAAAAGTAATAGGCTTGTAGCGAAAAATGCAATCTTTAACCACTGAAAATTTCAAAGCATTTGATCCAGTAATTAATAAAGAGAAAACCGACGTTTCCATAACCATCTTCTTCTTCAAACACAGAACGCTTAACTACTATAAGCGAATTTGTGACGTATTAATAGCACGTCTACGTTTAACTTTCTTTTTTTCAGCCCACTCAAGCGCACACTGTCGTGATACCGCGTTATCACGCCATCATGTTTACCGCACCAGTAAAGACATAATGACGGACAAAACGTACTCTTGTTTAAAAATGGGCGTCTCAGAATATCTCGTGTCCCATGGGAAATATAAATGTGTGCTGTCCCATCCCATGGGACATTTTTACCACGGACAAGCCTGCAAATAACCCATATGTAGCTGTTTGTTTCTTCATAATGACATTGGGCGAAATCAACGCCAAATTTCCGCAAATTATCTAAGGCACACTTTAATTATTTGAAACATGTAATTAGCTGAATATTGAGAGCGGGTTTCAAGGTTTGATACGTGCGATACGAGTACTAGTGCCCTGGCGACGAATTTTTGCTTCCGATTCATCGCGAAAGCGCTCCGTCAAATCTCGCAAGATTTAGAAACCTGAAAACGAGATAACGATCGGAGACCGCTGACTTATCGATCTTCAAAAAAAATATATTTAATTAATAGCTCGCTAATTATAAAAATGAAAAATTGAAAAAAAAAATTATTTAATTTATTAATAACTTGCTAATTATACGACATAATTCATCCAAAATC